TCTGTCTCAGGTTCCCTCTGTTGCCTTTTACGACACCAACGGGAAGATATGGGGTAGTTAGTATTCTTACCCGCCACTACACGGGGTAAATATAATATATATATATATATATATATATATATATATATATATATGTATATATATATATAAATATATTAAATATGCGTTGACGATACATGTTAACACGTAATAATAGCTAGCACAGTTGGTTAAAAATAGTATAATTTAGTTTTGTGATAACAAATACCGTAAATATTGCCACTATTAATTTGTGACGTGATACAAAGAAATATTGCTTGTGAGTATAATAATTCATTTCCCGTAGTAACATGGCGCAGCTTAGTTCCAAACGATTGAACTGAAAGCATTCATTATTCATTTGGTGACAATCAATCACATGAAGTAAGTATCGAACATTCACATAAATACGACATACCTGAGTAAAGGAGGTAAGTATGTCGAACACAGCACTTGAGTCATCTCCGTTAAATCTTTGAACCATTTCACGACACCAATCAACACGACAGAGCTTTTGTTCCTCTGTCAAATTATGAGGTATCCACCAGGCACCGAGCTTCCTAACCGCTAAATGCTTATGGAGGATTTTGTGCACTTGACACATACCGATGCCTAAGCTTGTTCGATTCTGCTGATAAGTCACTCTTTTGTCAGTTTCTATCATACGCCGCACAACAACAACACTGATGTTATCTTCAGTCGTCGCTGTAGAAGGCCGTCCCTCACGCAGATCATCGGTGAGATTAGTGCGACCACGTTTAAACTCATTAAACCAGTTGTAATCAGTGGCACGAGATAGGGCTTCATCGTGAAAGGCCTATCGAAGTCTATCATAACTTTCTTGTTGACTTAAATGACATCGAATGTCATGAAAAATCATTGTACGAAAATTTTCTCGCGTTAAATTCATGCTGACGTGACACAGACAATTTTCAACTTGCCGCCAAATCGTAAACAAATGTAACTTGTCATTTGTAAAATACATACACAATAATATTGGCAAAGAGTTCCATTTTCAAAATTTTAATTTATTTTTTTATTATATCGTTTACAAGTGGCCAGTTCTAAAAACTTTCAGTGTCGCACTCGTAATTAGCCAGTAGATATTTATATTGTACCAGATTTCCACGTCAAGTGTAAAAATATAAATAATAGCACTTTAAAAAAATATGTTATACCCAGAGTAGGAATTTCTTCTGTATGGTGAAGGCAGTTTACATACATAAATAGCACAAGAACTAACATCCTGCCAACCATTTTAGGTAGGCCATACAAATACTTGTACTGTACGAAATTCAAACCCGCGGCTAACAGCGCCCTAACTCACTGCTAAGCCATTGCACTATCAAGACTTCCATTTTCTTGACTCTACACAACACATTGCAAAAGAAGCTTCTGGAAGAAAAAAAGTTCAATTTGAAGTAATTATTATAACACGTTTTAAGCAGAAAAACTGTACAATTTGTAGAGCAAGAGAAGCAAACTTTAGAAACACTGCAAACCCTTTGTTGCTGTCTCTCTAATATCAGTTTTTAGAAAAATAACTTAATGAAAGACCACTTTATATATCAGGATCACTGACCAATAAAAATAAATACACGTCAACTTTTTACGTACGATTTTTTTGAATTTAGCTCATACCAGTACCCAAATATCCTCATATCTTTTTATAATTGATGTGCCGTTTTTCTTCAATTAGTCGCCTGACAGTAGCCACGTTTTTCTCTGTGATCGCAGTTGACGGTCAACCGTCGCAAATTTCTTCATGAAGAGAAACACGGTCTCGACAAATTCTACTTAACAACGCCTTATGGTGCTCAAATGAGATGCATTTTGAAGATGAACAGTGCAATGTTGCGGAGAGAATGAACCTTTTGACCTTTTGTGAATTTTGCTACGGATGACCAATTTCAATTTGTGATAAAAACCAATTGGCACTCGATTTTCTGCAAAAGTCATTTTAATTGAGTTTGTTTATGTCTAAAAATATTACATACGAAATTCAAACATTTATTAGCGTTCAGTGTGCTCTATACGAGGGTGGCACTGAAAATTTCGGGTATCAAGGAAGTGACACAACATTACTATTTAAAAATGTATTTATTGCTTTTGGAAGTATTCTCCGCGAAATTTGACACATTTTTCCATACGATGGAACCAATAATTGAAGCAACCATTCCATTCGGAAGTTGGGGTCTCCAAAATGGCCGTTTTGTAGGCGTCCACAGCTTCTTCAGGTGATGAAAATCTCTGTCCACGCAATTTATTCTTTATTTTAGGGAAAGTATAGAAATCATTAGGGCTTAGGTCGGGGCTGTACGGCGGATGGTCTAATAATTCTATGGTTTCTTGCTCTAAACACTCTTTTGTTCTGTGTGCGGTGTGAGAACTCGCATTGTCGTGATGGAGGATGATGCGGCAGTTGCAGTTCTCTCTACGGAGTTCAGAAACGACCTGTGGCAAACAAATGCTAGCATACCATTCTGCATTAACCGTTCTTTGTCCCTCAAGAGGAATAGTCGTAATATGGCCGGTTTTGGAGACAAATGTGGCCACCATTTTTTTTGCAACACTCCGTGAACGAACAATTTTTGTTGGCTTTAACTCATTTTCGAACACCCAAACTCGTAACTGGTTTTTTGTTTCGGGTTCGTACGCGTATATCCAGGATTCGTTACCTGATACGATATTGTATACAGCATTTGAGGATCCTGCGTGGAATCTTTCGAGAGTTCTGACGCACCAAGTAACGCGAGCCGCTTTTTGCTCTTCACAGAGCGAATGCGGTATCCATCGGGAAAACAACTTTTTTACACCTAATTGTTCATGCAAGATTATTTATATTTGACTCATGCCAATGTCTAAAGTTGCCTGAATTTCGCGGTATGTCACATGTCGATCTTCCTTAATCAGCTTACGCACAGCATCAACGTTTTCTTGGGTGACTGCAGTTTTTGGACGACTTTGACGGGGATCATCACTGAGCTTGACACGTCCACGTTGAAATTCAGCAAACCAGCGATAAATTGTGGTTTTGGATGGGGCTTCAGCACCAAATGCAGAAATCATCCGGTCAACACACTGTTTTTGTGTTAAACCACTTCGAGAGTCATAATAAATCATCGCTCTTGAATTTTCTCGAGTCAATTCCATTTTCTCAACGACTAAACAAGTTTGATAAAACCTTGTGGCAAGACCGAGAATCTTTTTTTTTAATAAATAAATGGTATTCGATTTTTAAAACCAAGGAGTTTTCAATTAAAAAGATTTTAATATGTCAGGAACAGTGGAAATATTCTATTCCCGATACTTTTAGTGCAGCCCTCGTACATATATACGAGCTTTTTATTTAAATGTTTGTTTGTAACCGAGTTCTCGAAAATGACTAATGATTTCGGTGAAATTTACAATATACCTCATCAATGTTTCGCCCCTGTAAGCGTGCGCCCCGGGGGCGATCGATCTAGCTAGGACTCATTTCTGGGAGAATTCGTTTTCTCCGCGTTTTCACGCGCAAAACAACGAGCTTGATCTGCCCGCGCAATTATACTGTAATTATATGGCCACAAAGATCAATGAACTTCTTCAACAATATAATGGCTAGAGCCTAGGGCTACCACTACATAGTGCGCGAGTTCGAATTCTGCAATGTGGTCATGAATTTTAAGATTTTTTGTTCTTTAGTATTCTGGCTCATACGGGCCTAAACCCGGGGAAAAATAAATTATTATATTATAGATTAATGAAATGTTTACAAGTAAAAGATGCAGGAAGTCGATGGATGCAGGTGGCTCAAGAACAAAGCACGTCTTTTTGGCATTCCTTGCAGGAAGCCTATGTTCAACAGTGGACTTGTGATGGCATTCTTTGATCCAGAAATGACCCGTACGATGCCAGGGCGGATCGCTAGTAGTCAATAAATATTTAATACAAGCCTAATTTTTTTTTTAAATTTTGCTATTAATTATTCCTTAAGGAATGAGAAACAAATAATTTAAAATTCAAAATTTTGTACAACTGACTTCAATATAAATTATTAAGAATAACTGAAAAGCTATTGGTCAGACCTTGATGAAATTTATATGGGACTACATGAGAAGCACCAGCTTTTAAACAAAAAAAAGAGTCATCGAAATCGGTTCACCCAGAAAAAAGTTATGAGGTAACACACATAAAAAACATACAGTCGAATTGAGTACCTCCTCCTTATTGAAGTTGGTAGAAAAAAGAAAGCAAAGGAAAAAGTTCACAATAACGCTTAGATTAAATTACATTTCTTTATTGTTCTGTATTCTGTGAATCCTCGGCTCAGCGCGGATTTTGCGTGTATCATATTACATATTATGTCAAAATCACAGTGTCATCTCCGAGGTAGCAGTTATTACATTCCTTTGGCGTAGATCCGCGGTGTAAGTTGCAGACTAAATAGAAAACTGATTTCAATATACATTTATATCCTCAAGAAACTAGCCGTTATTTAAGAAAAGTATGAGTTAGAGACTGACTTGATAGTCTGATGAGTAAGACTGAAGAAGCATGTAATATTTCTGTTCCACCAAAAACATAAATGTGGAAAAAAAGGACTAAGTTCGGTTCAAATAGCGACCGGGGCTGTCGGCTTCTCCGATAAAAGAGTTGAAATTTGAACGGGTACCAAGTACTAAACAGATCCCCAAAAATCATAGAGCTATTCTATAAGAAATTACAACGTTCTTGAAATGACCCGACAATATACCGTAGTTGTCATAAAAGGCGATAGAGGGAAACTGAAACAGAAAATGGGCAAGCATCTTTCTCATAAAAACTCAAAATCATTAAAAAAAAACTGCTGTTGCAACCCGCATGGCAAGCGCGACAACTATGGCAACAATCCATGGATAGAACTTTGTTCACCATTGTACCTTTGATAGGCTGTAATGACATTTTCATATGCATCTATGTATAAATTTACAAATGTATAAGTATATAATATATTGGTACAGGTGGAAAATGTAGCCAATGTATGCACGCACGCACTATGCGTGGCGCCTGCGTCTCTCGGAGCGCGTGAGCTGCTCACTCGCTCCGCGAACGCACCGCAAGCGATCGCTGCTGTCGTATACGGGCTGGCACTATGTCTTCTCTTCGCTGTTTCCACCACCTTCCATTCAGTATGCTGCTGCCGATCTGACACGTAAGTTATCCGAAGTTTTAAGTTTTCTCATATAGATTTAATTTTAAGTGTATTACAATCGTGCATAATCTCACATGATTTTCAAAGCTGTCCATATTACTTACAAAATTGTAAGTTTTACGTATCTCCTCAACTTGTGGACGTCTTCATTGATTTTATCAACTTTTTACGTCGTTCTTACTTACTTTTCACGCGGTAGAGCCATCTGCAGCTATATTAGTAGTATAGTTGTAGCACGAATGGGTCGGCTCGACCGGGCAAGGGCCACGCTCTCACAGAATGGCAGCTTAACGCTGCTGTGTTTCGTATGGTGAGTGTAGAGAACTGGAGATCCTTTTCACATTCCATCTTAGTCCTCACAACGGTGACAACGCATCTGCATTTTGATTTGTAATAGCGGATAGATGTAGATGTCTATGGGCCGCAACAACCATTTACCATCAGGTGCACTGTGTGCTCGTTTGTCACCCTTATCCTATAAAAAGGTCTTAAACATTCATGTCTTTTCACCTTCAAATATTTCCTACTAACTTCTGTCGGTCGCTCTGACCGTCCCGCAACAATAATGTCTTGAAGTTTATTAGCCTGTAGTGATAAGTTTTGCTTATGTTAATCCAGGACATTCATCAGTAAGCCAAACAATAATAAAAACCATCCAAAAGCGCCTAGCCCAGTGATTGAGTAAAAACACATTCAAACATCTTAACCATATTTCACACATCGTGTAATATTGGTATGGATTCTAATGACTGTTATAATTATATTAATTTACCTTCTTAAACCTAATCCAATTAATAAATTAAAATTATATGTCTTCAAGGACCTATGTCTGGGTAGACGTTATAATTAATATAATTCTGACCTTTATTGGTGTTACCATGTAACAGTTAATTAGTAGCAGCGCCGAGATTATCAATTAATCTATTAAATTTTAATTAGAGTATTTTAATATTACATTTGGTTCAAATTTAAGCAAACACAATTTGTTATAAAATATATAAATATTCGAAAATTACCTAACTAGACCTATTACTGTATTAGAGGCCTACATATATTAGTTTGTATTTAATGCACATTATTTGAAACTATATATACAAATATAATTTTTTAATTTCTGAAATCGTTTATACGTGGTAGAGCCATGTTGCAGCTATATTATGGTTGCAGCACGAATGGGTCGGCTCGACTGGAGAAGGACCACACTCTCACAGAATTCGAGCATAAAATTAACTGTTCAATGCTGCTGTATTTCGTATAGTGAGTAGAAAAACGGGGACCTTTTTACTGGATACGAAGCATTTCATCTTAGTCCTCAGGGGGTGAAAACGCATGTGTATTTTGATTCTTAATCAAGGATAGATGTAGATGTCTATGGGCCACAGCATCCACTTACCATCAGATGGGCTGTGTGCTCGCTTGTCATCCTTATTCTATAAAAAAATCGATGAAACGCCTCGAGGTCGGACCGACCGCGATAAAATGGTTTACTTTCTAAAGTATCTTTTACCACTTTTACTAAAAGTGTAAAGATCTATGGATATAAAGAGTATCTAAATATTAATTTCATCAGGAAACTTTTGAACAATCTCTGAACAAGAAACAATTAAAATTTTGTAATTTAAACCGTCTCCAAGTATTTTGTTTGATATTATTTTCTTTAAAGATTTTTGTGATTTTGAGTGTACAGAGTCAGGCTATATTATAGTAAAAAGATTTTTTGCATTGTTAATTATTGAATTTCTTGGCAATTTACTAGGAATTCCTCGCTACATTTTTATACATTGTTGTTGTTAACTGAATTGCCTCAATAATGATGATATCCACTATTAGATATTAGATGTTAAAAATGTTAAAGTAGAATTCCTGCTACTTGCAAGTTTTGAGACGGTTTTGAGATGAAACATAAATAGAGTCTTTATAGCACTAGCATTACGCACTAGCTCAGCTTAACAAAAGCCACTAGTACCTTTAAAATACCTTAATTATATTTGGATGAAAAGATAGACTTTGGTAAATTATTGCACGAATATATGAAGCAAATTTCATGTACAAGAACGACGAAGCAAACCGTTTGGTTCGATGTTATGTCGGCAAATGTGAGCTGGAGGCTGGAGCAGGAGACCTGCCGTGCCTTTGGTTGTCCCATAGTGGTATAGATAAGGAAGTGGGAGGAAATAATCCCTGTGATTTCTGCACACACTACAAAATATTTACTTTTTAATATCATGGCTACTCTACGCCTGTACTCGAGACTGCTAAGGTTGGCTTTGACTGGATTGAGATAAACCAAATCAAATCATTTATTTGCAATCCAAGTGTACATAATTGGTCTTAAATTAAAAATGAGCTTACAACTTAGACGCCCTTTTCAGGCACTGCAAATTTGACAAGCCTCTAGAGTGGCACTTTGGACTGGTGCTGCAAAATGTGGCAGCAGTACTTACACATGACGGGACTTGCGTTTCATTATAATATAATATATAGTTATATATTTATAGTAACGGGTTTTTAACATGGTAGAGCTACGCCCGTCCGTTTTTTTACCCGAGTCGGGTAAAAAAATCAGTTATTGAGCTTTTCCATCAAGAAACTCAGTAGTTGCCCGGAGTCAGGAAGCTGGCGGTGTCTCACCGCTGTGCCTCGAAAAGCACGTAAAGCCGTTGGTCCTGCGCCTGATCTCTCTCCGGTAGTGTCGGTTTACCGTCCCATCGGACTATGAGAGTGAGGGAATAGAGAGTGCTCCTGTGCTTGCGCATACACTTGGGCACTATAATCCTCCCTGCGCAGTCACTGTTGAGGCTGGCCGCCGTGACCGAAATTCGGTCTGGAGGACATTATTGTCCGGATACCCTTTTTACTGGAAACGAGGCATTCCATTTTAGTCCTCAGGTGTGACAAAACATCTTTTGAATTCTTAATCGCAATTACGGCATGTTCTCAAATAATATGAGAAAGATTAAAGGATTAAGTCAATTACGACATTACAACGCATAATCCGCCGCATTACAAAAAGTAGTTTATAATTGTTCGTAGGCTAAATTTCGAAAAATATCGGCTAAAATTCGTAGGTTAAACTAGGGTCCGATTTAATAAAGAGGTGCCGTGGAAAATACGCGAACGAAAATGTTCAGTATGGAGTTTGACAGCAAATGTCAAATTCCTTGAAGACTGTGGCGCCGCGGCTAATGGATTTCCGTAGTTAGAAGAACTGTTTTTAAACTGAAGTTTACACGAGGCTATCAATTAGTATCCGATCGAAGCTTCGGCTTAGGCTTCGGCCACCTTCGGCGAAAACGAAGTTTTCCATTTTGGCCGAAGCGGAAGGTTTTTTGCAATCACCAAAATTGAACGAACTGTTGTTACAAGTGAGCGAGAGTGCGATGTACGTGGACGACGCGATGTAATTTTTATCATCCCTAAATGAAGTTCTAGATATAATTAAAATTGCCTTTTTATATTATACAGTCAATATAAACCTTTAATTTAAACGTTTTAAAATAATTTATATTGTTAATTTTAGCCAGCCGTGATCTGAATTTCTTGAGTTTATAATTCTTCTGCTGTGGCCGAAGTTGTGGCGATAGCCGGTTAACTTCGGTTTCGGCTTCGATCGGATGCTACTATCAATAAAGCAAATTTTGTAATAAGACCGAAAATGTTTATTATGTAACTTTGCTACATTTGATGTACTATAAAGTATATTATACACAAGAATGTTTGCAAGCGCTATCCTATCCGCAAAGTTCTACGACCATAATATGCTTTACATATTATTATGATTGACATGTAGACCGTCTTAACGTCGCTAATGGAATAATAGCCTTTTGCCTTCACGTGACACGACCACTTCCTTTGGATTCTTTTTGTCCATACTCGTAGAGGCGTGTGTGGCATTTTGCAAGTCATATTTTGCTTTTATTTATATATGTAGTTCAGCAGATTTGTTAATAATTTGACTACAGCGCCACCTGTCGGATTCTAGCATAGCTATGAACCATCGTCTCGACAAAACGAATAAATTGTGTGAATATTACCACAATGTGGCGCAGCGGTGAGTTTACGATACAACTCGAGTGCTGGATACTCAGACAAGGCAAAACAACAGCGTCCATTGTGTTTGTTATGAGTCATGACGCCACGCTGCACTCCCGATGCACGCCTTCGTCTCAACCGAGGCCTTAGGCTTGTGTGAGGCGTTGAATTCTTAAAATAGGTACTATTACTCTTTTAATTGTACCGTGTAGTGGCGATGTAAGTATATCAACTACCCCATATCATCCCGTGAGTGTCGTAAGAGGCGACAGAGGGAAACAAATCAGGAGATGGGCACCAGCGTCTTCCTAATAACGACTAAAAATAAAAAACTGCGCTTGAGGCCTATGTTTAGTAGTGGACTTAAATAGGCTGTAATGGTAACGCTAACTCCTTTAACTCCCAGTAATACAGATTTATAAATGGTCACTTAATTTTATAATCGGTAGTAACTGACGTTACCTATCTTCACATTTTTATCACCTACGCGTGTAATATATTGCTATAAAAAAGAACGTGTGGGTCATAGAATGTGTGGGTATATTATGATAAAAAATACATAACGACTGAGAAGGCATGCAAGGTGCTGTCCATTAAATTTTTTCACATCGAACACCTATGCAATGACGCATTGGTGAAATATCCATAAAATGGTCGAGATGATTGTATTTTTTTTTACTCCGCAAATCTTTGATACGTATCCACAGCCTTAAAATTTTACTATTCCCAAGCAATACTCGCGTTTTTGTGTTCATTTCCTTATAAATTAATGAAAGAAAGACTAATAACATAATGATATTTTTTCAAAATAAGTTAAATCAGTTTAAAATTTCATACGTGCTACTTTATCATGGATGTAGCTCGAATGTTACTCTACTGGAAATGAACTACGCTCTCACAGAATACCAGCGTAAAATAATAGCGTAATGCTGATGTGCTGCGTATGACAGAGTAATATTAATTTATTCTTAAAACAAAAGAATACAAAGGAAGGACTTAATGCCTTACGGCATTCTCTACCCATCAACCCATGGAGTGTTGAGATGAGAATTTGACGTAGGTAGAATAAAAGAAAACAAAACAAAAATGATAATTAACTACGTAATATATACATTTTACTAATAAATAAACTATACAAACATAACTTATACAATTTACATACATACAAATATATACTTACATATACAGGGTTATCTCGCAATAACCGACCTTTACAGAGAAAGTTCAGAATAAGTAATATAGGCAAATGGTGAAGAAAAATTAATTAAAAAAAAATCTGAAACATCCTGTCCTTTTAATCTTTTTTTTCGTGCATTATTTTAACCGATTTTACTGCGCACGCACATATATGTAAGGGTCGATCGGTAAGCAAAAACGTTGTTGGCCATAAATAAATTTGGGATAATTTCAAAATAAATAAAAGTAGAAGCTTTATTTACTCGTATTTTATAAATCATTAACGATATATCCTTATTTTTATATTTGATCTTACGATTAAAATTTGGCTACTCTTTGAAAAATAACTTTGTATACATTATACCTAATATTACTGATCCGAAGGTAAAGTCATTAATAATTAACATGTAATGTAGGTATGTGTTAATATAAATTAAAATTTATTTTAAGATCTTCGTTTAGCCCTACCATTTTATACTTTTTAACATTGTCCAATAATTTAAACTCCAAATTTCAACATAGTATTATCTGCATGTCCATAGAGCATTATTATGATTTTAATAGGTGATTTGTTTCAGTGTAACTTTGTAATCGTAATGATGCTTTTTATATAGAATATGGGTGACAAACGGGCACACAGTCCACCTGATGGTAAATGGATGTTGTGACCATAGACATCTACATCTAGGGTTACCATATCTCAGGATTTGTCCTGAGATCTCAGGATTTTTGGACTCTTCTCAGGATTGCGGCCGGATTTTGGAAATCTCCTGAAATCTCAGGATTTTTAGAATTTTCAACACAAGCTAAAAATAATCTTCCTTTGGTAATAATTGCACAATTAAAAATCAAATTTTATTTATCCAAGTAGGTACCTAAACAGTTTTATCATACTTAATATGTGAAGATATCGTTTTAAGTAAGGTTTTTTCTTTAAGTATTGATTTATAATATAATGCCCACATGTTAAACTCTTCAAATTATGTATATTGAATTAAAAGTATAGCTCGAACTGAAGACACCGTGTGTCGGTTTCTTTCATTCGACCATTGAGCCCCCATAATAGAAAAAATCTTTCTACGTTTACATTCTGGGCTGTAATTGCAAATATATCTTGACAAATAGGCATTATCTCTGGTAATCGTGAAATACCTATTATTGTCTTGAAAACGGTTAAAGCATATATTTCATTTTAAATTGAGATTGATTGATGATGATTTACTTGAGTATGGTTAAAACAGTCAAATCTTCGCAATGGGGTGAAACTGAGTGAGAGTGCGACACTGCTGTCATAAGAACGATGCCCCTGCCTATAATGTTGACTTTTTTTTAAATTTTTAAGTACGTTGGAGAGAAATTTCTCAAACTGTAAAAAATCTCAGGATTTTTCACGGGAAAACAGGCCTTTTCTCCGGACTTTTGATTTTTTCATCTGGTAACCCTATCTACATCTATCCCCGTTTGCGAATCAAAATGCAGATGCGTTGTCATTCGTGAAGACTAAGATGGAATGCCTTTTATCCAGTAAAAATGGTCTCCGGTTCTCTACACTCACTATACGAAACACAGCAGTGTTAAACTGCTATTTTACGGTGATATTCTGTGAGAGCGTGGTACTTCCCCGGTCGAGCCGACCCATTCGTGCTACAACTATACTGCTAATATAGCTGCAGCATGGCTCTACCACGTATAAACTGACTGAGAACGTGGGTAATGTTTTCGAGAGTATTTAAGTATGTATGTACATAGTATGTCCATTTCTTTGGCACGCTCTGTAGCCTAAAAGGCTTGATGAATTCTAATATATCAGGTGTAGTTAGATCGTCTTAATTGTGGGAGTGACGTAGACCATATAATTTTATTTCAGTAATTTTTTTAACGCAGTCCGGTTTTTTGTATTTTCTGTTTTAACCATTTTGTTTACTACGGGTATAATAGAAAATGTTACATTATTTTCTGTACTCGAAACGTTACTTATAGTATTCCATGTGCCGTTAATAATATAACAATCGTAGCGGCTTTAGAAAGGGTTAGAGCCAAAAATAAACTAAAACGCCGCAGAGGCCGACCTAAGGCTTATCTTCAGGATTATAGTTAAGCACTACAACAAGTGAACAAGGTTACCTGTGTTGTTATTGCGTCACTATTGCGGTTGACTGATAACTAGCAAAAAAATTGTGGATAAAAATAAATATAACTAAACTTAATCATAGACCGTGTCTTGTTTCTAAGAGATTCCATCGACCCATTGAAATTAAATGAAAATGAAATTATATTGAGATTGAAATGAAAACTCTATTTTTTGACGTATCAAATTAAAATTGCGTTTGTCAAACGTCACTATATTTTATAATATACTACCGTTTCAAAATGAGATTTCTCCGTTCGGAGAAAAACCGAAAGTGAAATAAAGTCCTCAGGTATCCTCTTTGCATTTTCTCGTGGGTGTCGTAAGAGGTGAATATGAGAAAACCCAGAGAAATGTAAATGTAATGGCTTCAGATGGATGACGGTCTCGTTTACGCCAGACTAATACTACTCAAAACGATCGACAATTGGCCTGCTTGATGATTAAGGTGAATTCACCTTATAATGAGAGAGTTTGTAAATGAGTGGACTTTTACTTGATTAAGAAGAATGGGATGAACGGCAGTTAACTATGGTAGCTGAATACTGCTGTTTCGTGTGGTGAGTGTGAACGGTAGATCCTAATTACTAGAAATGAAGCATTCCATCTTAGTCCTCGGGGGTGACAACGCATCTGCATTTTTAATTCTTAATTGAAGATAGATGAAGGTGTCTATGGGCCACAGCATCCACTTACCATCAGACTGGACTGTGTGCCCGCTTTTCACCCTTATTCTATAAAAAAGTGAGATGCTACAAGACTTTTGCGATATTTTCTCAGAAAAAATTGGGTTTTTAGATTTAGTTCCACTGCCATAAATGTAATGCTGATGTATATTTATTGACTGCCATTACTGCAATTTAAGGAGATTTCTTTCTAATTGATAAGATTTTATCGAATAAAACCGCGTAATTTCGCATTTATATTTATTGTTTGCTGGTAAGAATAAACGATCATTTGATAGGTGCACACGTGTTGGAGGCGCCATGGCCTAGTTAAAGACTGAAGACTGTGGGCGGCTATTGTAAGCTTCCCGGCACTTGACCGATAGTTCTATCAACTTGCTTTGAGCCTTTGAGTTGTATATTTTTCCCGACACAAGATATTGCTTTACAGTATTGTTATAACATGCTTATGAATATTTTAGTCGACTTCAAAAGGTTTTAAATTGGACCGTATGTGTGTTTTTTTTTTTGTATATACCAGTATGTTTAATTGTGAACAGATTAAAAATGCTTTGAATTGTAAAAGAGGGCATCAAATAACTCAAAAGAACAAAATAATTTCTAAAACTGATACGACATTGGGCCTTAACATAATTTAAAATAAAAATTTTTGTACAGCCGACTTCAATATAAATTATTAAGAATAACTCAAAAACTATTGGTCTGACCTTGATCGAATTCATATGGGACCACATGTGAAGTACCAGCTTTCAAATAAAAAAGAATCATCGAAATCGGTTCACCCAGTAAAAAGTTATGAGGTCACACACATAAAAAATATACAGTCGAATTTAATTTTTTTTTAAATAAACCGTTACCCCCAATCTAGGATTTTCTCCTGTATCGTGGAGGCAGTTTACAAACATATATTGCACTAGGGCAAACATCCAGACCCGGAAAAATTATTTGTAGGCCATACAAATATTTGTTCCGTGCGGGATTCGAACCCGCGGCTGCAAGCGTTGCAACTCATTGCTAAGCCACTACGCCACGGAGCCGTCCGTACAATTGAGTACCGTCTCCTTTTTGAAATCGGCAGAAAAAGAGCCTGCTTTTCAAAAGCAGGCCTGTAACTCCACCTGTAATTCCCATGGTGTTGCAGTTGTTTATGGGCGGCGGTAGTCACACCGTCAGTTGAGCCGAAGCTCGTTTACACCCTCTCATTATAAATTGTAGCTTCTGGAGGCGGGGCTTCAATTCTTCTATACACTGTGTCTTATCACTGACTTGTGAGTGTGACACTGTCTATGTGTGTGTCTGATAATGTGAAAATTATTTCATTCTTTTCAGTTCTTTGAAGTTGGCTTTTACTTTTTATTGTAAGTTTATTTTTCTGTCTACACTATATTTGTGATGTCCGTAACCATAACTGCGATATTTTGTGTGATTTTTTTTTGGTAAAATAAAAACAGTCAATTGCAAAGTTTGCACAAGTAATGTTTCGAACCTAATAAAATTAATAGTGATCATAAAATTTTAATAAATTAACTTTTAATCGCATTTCGTACAACATAAATTACCAGCAGTATTAAAATCGAACATCGGGCATATGTAAACGACTACATTTTTGCTTATTTTTAAACTAATACAGTATTTTATATCTAATTATGCTTTGCTTTTATATCGATTTAATTTTTACTTGAATATGTACTTATATAAATTTGATATACACTCTTTTTATACTTGCGTTATATGTGGTCACGCTTATCTCATACACAATCACAAAGCTAAAAGCATACTAATTTTCCAGTAAAATGAAACACTTCCTCCACCGTTGCGACCGTGCCATGATATATATATTCATCGCGAGCTCCTACTTCCCCTGGCTGACGGTGGGCACGCTCTCCTGCTGGATGCTCCGCGAGCTACGCTGGGCGATCTGGCTACTCGCAATCCTCGGCATCACCTACCAGCAGATATTCCACGAGCGATACAAGATGCTGGAGTTGCTGCTCTACTTGGTCATGGGCTTGGGGCCGGCGGTCATCATTTTCACGTCAAATGTACGTCCGTGTTTGTTTGCACGCTTGCTTTTTTTGTTTTACTGTATGCTGTGTTTACCAAGGCTTTATATTTAGTTCAAAATTTATAGAGGTAATATTACATTCATTATAAAAACATCAACAACAGCTCGTATGTATAAAGTTTATATATAAAGCACTCACAGAAAACCAGCGTGAAGTAGAGGTTTACCTCTGCGTTTCGCTTGGTGAGTGCAGGTGGCCAGAGGCCCTTTTTACTGGAAATGAGGCATTCCATCTTAGTCCTCACGGGTGACAACGCATCTACATTTTGATTTGTAATAGAGGATAGATGTAGATATCTATGGGCCACAGCAACCACTTACCATCAGGTGGACTGTGTGCTCGTTTATCACTCTTACTCTATAAAAAAATGCTGTAACCACAATATAGCTGCAGTATGGATCTACCATTTAATTATTTTAAAATTAAATATTTTTACGTGGTACATTAATAGATATTTAATTTTTAATATAGATTTTTAACAGATTAATAAATTAACATAGATTAGGGCTTAGACGATTTAGGACTGATTATTCAATCGTCAAAATTCTGGCAGTGCCACTATCCTATAAAAAAAAGTTAGAAAAAATATATTAATGTCAAGCCTAATTGAAAAAAAAAACAATTGAAGATCAAGGAAAACATTTAATAATACTTACCATCATTACAGCTTATCAAAGGTCTACTGCCGAACATAGAAGTGTCACATAGATTGTCACATGTGAAAAGGGGGTAATCACCCTAATACACATGGTAGAGCCATTCTGCAACTATATTATGGTTGTAGCACGAAGGGGGCGGCTCGACTGTTGAAGGAGCACGCTCTCACTGAATACCAGCGTAAAATATTTATTTTATACGCTGGTATTCTGTGAGAGGTGTGGTACGCTGCTGTGTTTCGTATGGTGAGTGTAGAGAATCGGAGACCCATTTTACTGGAAACGAGACATTCCATCGTAGTCCTCACGGGTGACAACGCGTCTGCATTTTGATTCGTAATCGAGGATAGATGTAGGTGTTTATGGGCAACAGTATCCACTTAACATCAGGTGGACTGTGCGCGCGTTTATCACTCTTACTCTATAAAAAAATGCTGTAACCACAATATAGCTGCAGCATGGATCTACCATTTAATTATTTTAAAATTAAATATTTTTACGTGGTACATTAATATATATTTAATTTTTAATATAGATTTTTAACAGATTAATAAATTAACATAGATTAGGGCTTAGACGATTTAGGACTGATTATTCAATCGTCAAAATTCTGGCAGTGCCACTATCAATAACCATCAGTATAGCATCTGCTACAACTGTCTTTAATTTCTTGGTACATACAAAACAGTGGTGTATATAATATATAAATAAATATAATTAAATCTTATTATATATAAGTAGCATTTCTCACGGTAATTTTACTAATAATACTCGTATATTATATATTGACGTAGGTTATATTCTCTTTGACGTGGAATGCGCAAAGTAACCATTTTTGGAGCAATTGAAGTAAACAAATGACAATCATATTTCGTTTAATACAGCGTAATGCTAAGCTTTGGTTGTTTGTGTCTGCGTTGTGATCTTGTTTCACCATCATTTATTTAATTACATGTCTTTCTTTTGAATCAAGCGATTCGATGCTTTATTGTTTTATGGGGCTTACTACCCGTCCTTTTCTCATGGACACAGGCAGGACACGAATACAGATGCATCATAGATACTTCTCTTAACTTAAATTAAAATTATAAAATTTGTTTTACGTGGTAGCGCCTCGCCGCAGTTCAATAAGGTTGCCGCATGAATATCCTTTTCACTGGTGACGAGGCAACCGATCTCAGACCTTATGGGGTCATCTTGATCTTCTGGTCTACGTAACTCATAGATGGGCGGAGGCAGTAGAGTTCAAGGGGGAGGCATCGGCCGTTAGTTTGGACAATCCGAAGGCCTTTGATCGGGTTTGACACAAAACGCTTCTTTCGAAACTCCCTTTCTATGGGCTTCCAGAGTAATTGTGCAATTGGATCACCAGCTTTCTTGCAAATTGGAGCATCTCCTCAATTTCAAGGCAATCCCCTTGTTACCTCAGCCATTATCGGAATTCTCGGCGTCGACATATATAGAGTGACGTGCAGTTTCGTGATCACTTGGAAGACAAGGCCAAATAGGCCTCTAAATAGCTTGGCGTGCTCAGCAGAGCGGGACAGTATTTCAAGACGGCACACCGCCTGCAACTTTACAAGGCGCAGATTCGGCGTTACATGGAATAGTGTTCCCATCTCTGGGCTGGGGCTCCCCAGGGCTTTGTTAAACATATATTAAAGCTGTTTTTGATAACAACAATATGGTTTTCTTTAAGTTTTTTTTTAAATCTCTCCCTGATAAAAAAATATCTAAGGCCCAGTAACTTTGGGTCAATATTCCTGTGTAAAAAAGTGAGGTTTAGTCGATTTATCATGAAAAACTGTCTTAAAAATCTAAAACTTCAAACTCTCGTTAAAAAATTCAGGGGTATTTACGCCAAAATCCCCTTGGGGTTTTTCATGATTTATGTTGGTAAACATGTAAAAAAAAATTGTTCCAAATCGGAGGTGTCCCTAAAACGGAACTCTACCCAAGTTTTTTATTTTTTATTTTACATTATTTGGACCCTGTTTAGATCCCATACAACATGGACAACCAATTCCTACACGACCCTTATCATATCAGTAGGAGGCTAGTGCTTTCTTTGTCTAAATCACCACTATCATCATGAAACTACATATATCACTATATCAATGAAGAGATCATTATGAAACATTATTTGTTTTTCATATTATGCTATTCTTATCTAGCCATAATGAATCTTACCTCATATCACAAGAGCAAAATATATTTTCATCTAAAATAAATATCTAATTTAATATAAGAGTTATATTCGTATTGAATAGCTGATTACTATGTAACACATGACTCTAAATCAATCTAAAAACAAACTTTATGGAATTAACTCTTGACCGGGGAATCGAACCCCGAACTTTCGTTCGACATTATATTGAATTTATTCGAAGCGCCTTATATAAATTAATAGCAATAATTTCAAAACACAAATTATTTATCTTTATGGAATGAAAAATTATAAAGTATTTTTAAGCGCGTCGCCAACAAGTTGAGTATACAATGAACAATATTATAGAGCTCCGCTACACCGGCACACCGTACATGAATAGCTAAGCGCCGCGTGTCATCTGCGAGAACACTGCCTTCGACCTTACCCCTGAGAATACGCTTATTACTTATTTTTAGATGGATCGATAAGTAATCAAGTTACTTTAATAAGTACGCACCCATTTATAGGTGACATTTAAAGGCATGAAAATGTCTGTAGTCTTTACCTACATATTATTAGCGAGACAGTATTTCATGCCGGCACATCGCTTGCAACTTTACAAAGTGCAAATCCGGCCTCACATGGAATACTGTTCTCATCTCTGGGCCGGGGCACCCCAGTGCCAGATCCTTCCACTTGACTGCATCAAGCGCAGAGCGGTTCGAATCGTCGACGACCGAGTTCTTTCTGATCGGCTCGATACACTGGCACTGAGTAGAGATGTTGCATCTCTTTGCGTATTTTATCGCATTTACCACGGGGAGTGCTCTGAGGAATTGTGCGGATTAATTCCAGCCGCTCAATTTCACTATCGTACATCGCGACAAAACTTGCGATACCATCCATACCACCTGGATGATTGGCGGTCCACCACTGTGCGATTTAGAAGATGTTTTCTTCCTCGCACAACTCCCTAGTGGAATCGATTACCACCAGCGATTTTTCCGGACCGATACGACTTAGGGACCTTCAAGAAAAGAGCCTACTCCTTTTTAAAAGGCCGGCAACGCATCTGCAATTCCCTTCCTGGTGTTGCAGTTGTTCATGGGCGGCGGTAGTCACTTACCATCAGGTGAGCCGCATGCTCGTTTGCCCCCTCGCCTATAAAAAAAAATAGTATATTAAGAAAATAATTGTATAATTTAAAATTAGCACAGAGGGAAACTGTTATTTTATTCTTACTTCGCTTTTGGAGAAGTCCTATTGAAATTCAAGTAAATTAATTATGGTAGGTACTCAACGTAAAGATAATGAGAAAGGTTTGGTTTAAATTTAAGATCTTTTCTACCGACTTTAAAAAGGAGACGGTACTTAATTCGACTGTATGTTTTTTTTTTATGTGTGTTACGAGTAAACAATTATAATGAACATTAGATACCTATATACATATATTAAATCATACTATTAGATACTACTTAGAACCTTTCAAAAGCCACTGCTGAACATAGAACATAGGCCTCCCCTATAGTTTGCTTCATATTTGCCATAGTTGATCACGCTTGGCAAATGGGTTGGCAACCGTATTTTATTGATTTTGAGTTGTGAGGAAGACGCCGTTGCCCATCTCCTGTCTCATTCCCCTCTGCCGCGTCTTACGACACCCGCGGGAATTTATGGGGTAGCGGGTTTTAGAATCCACTTTTAATTATTTATGAATATTCAATATTTCAACAAAGTGGGTTTTTAGAGCAAGGAAGTGTCCTCCGCCCTGCTCTAACGCGTGTTAGCGTGTATTCGAAATATTTTTATATTTTAATTCCTCAGGAATGTAGGTTTCCTAGCGATGTTTTTCTTCACCTCCGAGCGCGTGAAAAATATAATATACTCTATTTATACGAAAGCATTTAATTGTTACAAGGGTAGATCAAATTTACACAATACTATTGCTGTTTGTAAATCACCTAGTAACCTGAATGTATTCAAGAAGGTAGGTAGGTTATAGGTCACAGCGTAATGAATTTTGTAAATTAGCGAATTTGAGGTCATGGTTAGTACCATATATAAAATTCAAATGAAATCTTTAACGCCGCGCTTCTAATAAATAATACTCGCTATTATAAATAAATAAACAAACAATATGCCCGTGCTGTTTTCTAAAAGGGTTCTTTTTG